TATTATGTTTATACTTGATGTTGGCATGTAGACTAGTTAACATGTTGAATTATTTTATGGATATTATTGTATGTATTTATTTAGGCTCATGATTGTATCCTTAGAGCCATGGATTATTACTGATGCTTTTATACTTTGAATTAATATAGACTTGATGCATGTATTCAGTTAATTTGGGCATAGAGCCTTATCGTTTGTATTGATCTATTGAGGGGATTTCAGTCCGTGTGGACTTCCAAGCTATCTGTTTAAATTATTGTATTAATTAGGTTATCTGTATGTGTGGGACCATATTCTCAGTTATCTGAAATACAGCCATTATGTTGTCCGTGAGACTCCGTCAGGAATGACACTTGATGTCATATCTTGATGGTCAATGGCCACTAATACTGGCTCATGAGATTAATTAGTAAATGTATGTTTAGATTTATGCTTTCGTAGTATCTCACGTGAACGTTTTTAGAAATGTTTTCATAAAAGGTTTTGAAAAAAGTTTACTCGTATTTTTGTAAAATGCTTTATTATTCTTTTAAAATGAAGTCTTCCGCAGTGTATGCCAAATATCATGTATGTTAACAACTGGAGTACTACGGTGTGTTACACTCGAAATCCTTTTTATCCTTTTTAAATAGATATTAAAATTTAAAGTTTAAATTAGTTAGTTTTTGTTTGAGTAAAATTTAGAATTTACATTGAATTAGGCTAGGCACTTATACAATAGGCACAAACAAAATTTAAAAAAAGTAGAAGGATAATTAATAGTGATAATTAAAGCAAAAAATTCCTAAAAGAAAAATTGCTTTGAAACTATGTTGCTGGGTTGCACTGGTCTAGCATCTGACACACTTCAACATTCTTTAAAGAAATAAAAGATGGTTTTATGAGGGTCAAAGTAGTATCATTTCTATCAAACTCATCACTCTCATCGTCACTGTAAGCATATATGTCAAGAATAGACATAAATTAAAAAACATCAACAACAATGCGAAACAAATTATGTATGGACAGAAAGAATAGAAGGAAAAACTCATATTGCTCTTGCAGACATTAAAGATAGAAAATATAAGAACTTTAAGATAAAGGAAAAAAATTTACTGTGTTGAATTTTGAGATGGTGCTCAAAAAGCACAAATAACACACAGGAGAGAAAAAGACAGAACTTGCCAAAGGCTGGGGTGATCCACGCAGTATGCCATTGCTCGTTGTGTACTTTAAAGTTAAGACATTTTATTATATCATTTCACTCATTCAAGATATTAGATTATGGAGAAAATACTTGTAGAAGAAAAGCAGATAGAGAAGAATGTCATACCTTCCTCTGAGGAAGTACAAAAGCAATATCCCAGTGATTTCAAATCATCCCGTCAGTTTTGTTCTACAACAAAGTTGCAAAAAAAAGCAAAAATATTACATATTCATGTGATAGAACAACAATCTGAAAAGATGAAGAAGATAAACACACAGATAAGAGAATAAATATGTGCACAGAAGCTAATTATCAAATGAAAACCCAATAACACATCTTATTTATACACACAATATATGCATTTTTTACAAAATATTTTCTTTTTTTTAATGATTATTTTTTAACAAAAAAGTAATGAGATAATAAATGAGCTGTCTGCCACCAACAATTGTTCAAATGTTTTCTCAACCTTTAAAATTCAAATTCAAATTAAAAATTGAAAATCAAGATTTCATAAAGTGGGACATTAATTGAGTTGTCTGCCACTATCAATTGTTAACATATTTTCTCAATTGAATTTAATTACAAATTTGATTTTATTTAATATATTTTTTATTCTTTTTTAACAAAGAAGGAAAGGTTTCAAATATTTTGTAGTATGAACACAAAACTGAAAGTGAAGGAGAAAGCGACACGTAAGCAAACTTGCCAAAAAATGAGTTTCCTTTAGGATTTGTTTGAGAGTTGATTTTAGGAGAAAAAGAAAAGAAAAGTGAGGGTTTTAGTAAGTCCTTCCATTGTTTGTGAGTTTAATAAAACGAGGGGAAGGAATTGGGGATTTTTAATAAACCCTACAAATCCTCCTTTTTCTTAAAATTAAAGTTCCTCCAATTTGGGAGGTTTATGAAAATATGAAAACAACATAAATGTGAATTATTTTTAAATGTGACATTATTAGAAAAGACTCAAATACCGAAAAAATTTATCGACAAAAAATATTTTGTCAAAAATAATGATAAATTTTTTTTCGTCAAAACTAAAGACGAAATCAGATTTTGCCATAATCACTGACATAATTTTTTTACGGGAAAAAAATTCAGTCAAAATTATTGAAAGAATCTAAATTCTGTCGAAACATTCAACGAAAATAATTTTGTCCAAAATTTTGACGAAACTTATTTCCATCGAAAAGTTTCAATGTAAAATAATTACGTCAAATTTTTTTACGAAAAATATTTCCATCAAAATTTGTGACTAAAAACATTTATGTAAAAAATTTCGTCGGAAAATTTTTTTTACAGAATCTAAATTTCTTTAAAACATTTTCTTTAAAATATTTCACAAAAAACTTATTCATTGAAATATTTAACGAAAAATATTTCTATCAAAATTTTCAACAAAACACATTTCCATCAAAAAAATTTCATCAAAATTCCTTATAGAATTCAAATTACGTCGAAAGTTTTCGACGGAAATATTTTCGTTAAACTTTTTGGCTAAAAAATTTTTCGTCGAAATTTTTAACGAAACACATTTTCATCAAATTTTTTTGACTATAAATATTTTCGTCAAGTTTTTTGATAAAAAAATATTTCCATCAAAAATTTCAACGGAACACATTTTTGTCAAAAGTTTTCAACAGAAATTTTTTTTTGTAAAATATTTCGATAAATTTTTTTTACGGAAAAATATTCTGTCAAACTTTTTATAGAATCTAAATTTCGCCGAAAGTTTCAAATGAAACAATTCCCTCAAAACTTTTGAGAAAACAATTTTCGTCAAAATTTTCGTTATAACACATTTTTATCAAAATGTTGAACAGAAAATATTTCGTCAAAATTTTAGTAAAAATTTATTTTGTGAAAATTTCCATCGATAGAAAAAAAATTTTGTACAAATTTTCATCGGAGAAAGAATTCCGTCGCTTTTTGACGAAAAGTATTCCAACGAAAAAATAATTTTGTGACAAAATTTTCATCATTTGCAACGTAAAAATTTCATCGAAAATATGATCTTTTTTTGTATTGTGAAAAGTATAAAAATAGTTTTGGTTGGAATTTTAAATTTAATTTGATTTGTAAAATATAATAATTATATTAATTTTAAAAAAAGAAAAAAATGGTAAAAATATCTCATGAACCCTCTATTTTTCTTCCTTATCATATTTTTAACTCCCAAATAAGGGAAGAGAATACCCTCCAATTTTTTCCCCTTCCTTCCCCTTATAGATCCCCTTCCTTCCCTTCCCCTTCAAACTTTCAAACAAAGCCTAAGTGATGGAAGGAGTTTCTTAAAATTTTGAGAATAGCTTTCAGAGAGAACACCCTCTGTCAAACAATTTTTTTTATATTTTTGTTTTTAAAATTTAAAAACTAACAGGTCCTAAAGCACACCACCGGAGTCTCATTCCGCGTTGCAACTGCATAATGTTTGGTTTTGATTTTATTAAGTAAAAATCCAAATTTTAAAAAGATTTTAAGTATTAATTATTTTAAATATTAAATAAATTCATCCAAACATAGGCTACCGCCTACCATCATGCCCATTTCCCATTTACTAAGAGCATGTTTGGCATTTTTTTTAAACTAAAAGCAAATTTTAAATTAAAATTACAAAAAGGAGCTTAAAAAATAAAAACGGTTTGATAATCGTATAAAATTGTTTTTAGAGTTTTAAAAGGAAAGAGATGAAATGATTTGTTATTAGGGTAAATGATAAAATTTATAAATAGAAGTTTAGAATAAGAGTATAATTGAAAAATAAATGTGAAAACTCAAAAAAGCTGACATATATATTAAACAAGTTTCTTTTGAGAGCTTTTAGCTTTTTTTTCATTATAAAAAATAAATTATTTTTATAATAAGAGTATTTGTAAAATTATAGTTGACTAAACTTCTATTTATAAGGAGAAAATAAGCTAAAAAAAAAAGAGTTTTCAAAGAAGTACTAAGTATATCGTATTAGTGAGGCTAGAAAACAAACCTTTCGATGTGAGGTTCTCCAAAGGTAATTGAAACAAATCTTAGGAGAGCTGATCCCAAAAGCTAGCATGTGAGATATGAGAATGAGAGTCTAAAATTTATATAAATTTTACACCAGAACCTTATGTTTTTAATATGGAACTCCAAGTCCTATACTTTAGAGTAGGGTCATAAGAAATTCTCACAGAATCAACACATGATAAACATAAAGCAAGTGCGATATAAAAGTGTTTAGTGGCGTTAATCTCCAAAAAAATGTTGTTGTAACTTTGCAAGATCCAATTAAAACATCACAATTGATTAAAACAAAGATCTTAAAAAAAAACTCTCATGAGAGCTTTTAATTTTTAACTTTTGTTTTTATTATAAAAAAAAGAATTTTTTTATCATAAGAGTTTTTTTTTTTTAAATTTATTTGACCTAATTTATGTTTATAAACAGCTTTTGGCTTGATAAAGTGAAGATATAAACAGACACTAAGAATTTATAATTGTCCATATACGCCGTTGTACTGGTAACTCAATAGTCAATATATATCATTTTACCATTATCGAGGAGTCTTTGCCTTTCCCTTCAGTTTCTCTCTTTTACTTGTTGCCCTAACCCAACCCTTACTGGTTCCTTCAGTTTCCATCCTTTCTTCCCGCCATATCTTATTTTCAAAGCCCTCGTTTCGCTGTAAGTTACTTTCTCCTATCCCTCTGAAACCGTTTCATTATACTGTTTTCTTTTGTTTTTTTGTTTGTTGACATTTGATGGTGAGTTTGTTGACATTGAATAACTACATTCTCTTCTGAACTGCTTAATGTTTAGTATCTTATGGTTTTAGGAGAATGGAGTATCCGGCTATTTTACCACTCTCTAATCTGAAAGAAGAAACTCTGATTGTCGATAAGAAGTCCAAGAGGAAGAACAAAAATGCTGAAAAGAAGAGAAAGGGGTTGATTGAAGAGGATTCATGTAGTGCCACTGAAGATAAGTTGTTGCAGGATGGAAATGAAGTTCACGATGGAAAGACTAAAACCAAGAAGAAGAAGAAGAGAAAATCGGTTGAGATTCAAGAAAATACAGATCAGGTTGAATTACAGGAAAATAGGAATGACATTGACACTGTTAGTGTTAACTATGTTTCTTCTTCTCAGAATGTCTCTCGGCCTACAGTTAAAAGAACCCTTTCGGCTTCTGAGAAGAGGGACGAGGCTTACAAAAGAAGAACTCCTGATAATACATGGAAGCCTCCACGGTCTGAGATTGTTCTCCTTCAAGAGGATCACGTTCATGACCCTTGGAGGGTGTTGGTTATATGCATGCTTCTCAACCAAACTGCTGGTTGGCAGGTATATTCATGTATTCGCCTACTGATTTAATAGCATCTGGATATTTGATTCTTTGCATAATTTATTTCCCAGTTTAGCCCCTATTCCGGGACAATGTTCTACTATTGGCCTTGGCATTCATATACCATGCTATTGTATCTTTCTATTTGAATAAGTACTGTTTGGAGGAACAAGCATGTTTCTCACTCTGATATTTGTAGCTGTTATACATGAGCAGTGCCCTTCATCTGTTGGTCTGCTTTAAAAGGCTCTGTAAAGAAAAATAAAGATTGGCATGCAAGAGTGAAATAGTCAAGTAAAGATTGAAACAATATCACCTTTATTCCAACCTAGTTGGGTTTGGCAGCCAATGAATCCATTAAAAGCAAGAACAAATTAAGGAAAAATAAATAATAAATGAGAAAAAAATATACTTATATATATATAATAGAAAAATAAAATAAAATAAAATAAATAAATACATAAAAAATAAAAAAAATTAATTGATTTTTTTATTTTTTTATTTTTTCAGAGAGAGAGAGTGGAGAAGAAAAAAAAAGAAAAAGTTAATGGCACAAATTCTATCTTTTCACAAATATTTTTTGTCTGATGCATAGAAATCTTTGTCGAAAATTAGATTTCTTCACTGCATATTTTTACCATGTTGGGGATGTGGTGATTATAACATGGATGTACCTTCTATTTGTGTTATGATATTTACCAAATTTCATGCTTTATGATATTTACCAAGTTGATAAGGTCTTAGTATAAAAAATCTTCATTAGGTTATGTTCGAGGTTGTTATTTGATATTTAAGTGTGTCAATTCATTTATGATATTCTTCCAGTATAATGTCAATTAGATGGGTGCATGGTTTGAGAATATGGTAAATTAGGAATCAGGACACCTAGTCAATTTAATTCCCAGGATCTCCTATGCCACCTTGTTCTCTAAGGTGAAGATGGTGCCATTAGAACTAGTGGTCATTTGCAGGAGTGTAATTTGTGCTTTTGTTAAAACATCCTATTGTTCATACGAGGCTTTCATTTAATTATCGTATGTTGGCGTGTAAAAGTTTAAATTATATGGATGCATGTACTGATTTAAGATAGATTATTTTGCAAAATGCAGGTAAAAGAGGTTTTACCGAAACTGTTCGAGTTATGTCCAGATGCAAAATCTCTTACACAAGTTTCAGATGAGGAAATTTCACAGGTAATATGGGGTCTAGGTTTTCAACGTAGAAGGGCACGTATGTTACGACGGTTCTCTAAGGAATACTTGGGGGAAAGATGGACACATGTAACTCAACTCCATGGTGTTGGCAAGTATGTCATGTTGTGTTCTTTTTTATGAGTGCATGTGTGCCATTTTATTTTATTTTTTTATTTAGGTAAATCTATGTTTCTCTTTTTTTTTCCTATGATAATACTGAATCTCTCTCAATCAGGTATGCAGCGGATGCATATGCTATATTTTGTACAGGAAAGTGGGATCAAGTGAGACCTGCAGATCACAAGCTAAACGAGTATTGGGAATGGCTCCATGAAACTCAAGCATAAATTGTTAAAGAGATAGGATGAAAAATGAAATTCTAAATTATTCATATTGACGTCTGTCTCTTTGTATTTGTGTTTGTATTTGTGTACTGATGATGATGGGAAAATCCATATCTGCCTCTTTAACTTTTTATGCTTTGCTCTTTTTGTGTGTCTTTTTTCTTTTGTCAAAGGCTCGGAGGTAGACAAAAGATATCCTTGTCATGTCACCTATTATGACTCTTCGTAGAGCTTTTTTTTTCATACTATTTAGAGTGCTATTATATCGAATGCTATATCCCATCAAGGAAAATAATTCCAATCTCACGTGATTTTTTGTTTTATGAGAATAGGAAAATATAGGGATGTTGGAGTTGTTCCGAAAGTAAAGATAAACTTTTCATATCGAAACTTGAAAATAACAAATCTGAAACGACCAAATTAAATGAAATAAAACCATGTTTTAGAACATATCAAATGTTGGTGATTATAAAATGATGAAAATTTTATTATAAAAATTTGAATGCTAAAAAGAAAATATACATTCCCAAACATATTTAATTTATTACAATTGTTTAAAAATTCACGATACATTGCATAGATTTATGAAAAAATAATTTATTTTAAATTTGTAAGTAACTTTTTTAAAGAAAAAATATTTTAATTTGAATACAATGTTTAAGAAATATTTATTTATTTTTATTTCTTCACCAATTCATTGAATAATCTAATTTAAGTTGGATAGGATAACAAACTGGGACAAAACTCTCCCTTCAAGCAATATTTATTTTGAGAATAACTAGTCTCTCCACTAATTTCAGAAACGGAATTCGTTATTTTCTAAAATAAATGTTAAATGCAACTTTTTTTTTTTTTTTTGAATATTTCATCCAATTCTAAGTATTCTCAATAACATTTATTTTAATTTTTTTTTGGGTGAATAAAACATTTAAATTTTAAAAATACGAGAACGCTGGTAAAATTGTTTCAAAATACAGTGCGCGGCGTTTCTTACTTCCCTCCATGAGAGCTTTTCCCGCCATCCCGAAAGTAAAAGTGAACTTAAAAAAAGAATAAAGAATAGTTGATCCCTAATTTGTTTATCCACACACGTGAAGAAGAAGTAGAAGAAGAAAACAATGTCAACATGGCAGATATTCTCCGATGCTGAAAACAATTACCACTGGAAAATTAGTAAAGATGCTTCAAATGTTAAACCCTTGCCCACTCCCATTGCCACCCCTCTCCTCCCTTCCATGGCTGATATTCTTCTTCAAGGTTCAAAATTTTCAATTTTAAATATTAACCTTTGCTTAGATTTTGCATAATAATAATTATTATTATTTTGTTATACCGCACGAGACTAATGTGTTGTTTGTTAAAGGCTGTTCGAATATCAATGAAGGCACTCCAGCTGTTCTTGGCGATGATGCTATTTCTGAAGGTGTCTTATCCATTTCACTTCTTTGCCTAAGTATTTCAATTTAGTAAAATTTAATTATTCAATAAACCTCTTTTTTTTTCTTTTTTTTTTTTTGTGTGGGAATGCAACATCTTATTCTGGGAAAACTGAAGCTATTATTTTGTTGTCTTTCTGTTTGTTGAGATGCAATTTATATCTTATTTCCTCGTGAATGAGTTTGTAGCTCAATTGGCATTGCTGCAATTCTTTAAAACTTGGACGGTGATGATGTCGGGGTTCGGTCTCCATTTGGCAAAGAAACCCCAACTTGTGAGAGTAGGAGTGAGAGAAATCTTGTACACAGTCTTATTATTATATATTTATTTTTTGGCAAAGAAACTGTCTGTTGGATTTGAATATGTGACCTTTCAGTCACACAACAGCAGCTTTACCACTGCCAGTCTCGTCCTATTCTATTGCTCCATGTAAAAAAATCTGACTAGCAAGGGTAGTGATGAAGGCATTTCGGTCACAAAGAAACAGTTTTATCATCGCTCCAGCTCGACCTCTTCTATTGCAAAGTATCCTAGTTCGTCACTCACCAAAGCTGTAGAAAAGCTTAGTATAGTTGAATTTTTGGGTTTCTGTCTTGCAAAGTGATTTTACAGAGGAAATTAATTTTTCTAAATCTATCTCCCGATTTCTCATAGTCCAGTTTCCCTGATATTGAAGTAAAATTTCCATCATTCAATATGTAATTTGAAGTGCTTTTATATATAGACTAATGTATGTGATCTGGACTAATGAATTGCAGGTGAAGAGCATGCAATACATAATATTTGCAGCTTCTCAAATTCTCTCTTTAAGACAGTATCTGGCAAAAGAATTACTATATCTTCTAATGGTCTTGCTCGAGCAAAGACATTATTGGGGTTGAAAGAAGACACTGTTGGTAGTAATATCCCAAGCCCTCAGCATACAAAAAAAAGCCCTCAGCATACAAAAAAATTACATGCTATGGTCGAAACATATGAAAGGCAACAACTGTCACCTCATGTACAGCAACATAAAGTTATCAACAGTTATAAGATGATGAATGTTGTATCATGTCAAAGTCCTTCAGTTGGTAGTAGTCACACATTAAAGAATGAGTTTGACCAAAAAGTTGTTCAACCAGATAAACAAGCTCCAATTAAATTCCAAACTGCAGGTGGAAGGTCTATATCCATTTCTAATGATGCACTCCAACGTGCTAGGAGCCTTCTTGGTGACCCAGACCTGGGAGATTTCCTTGATGGAGGGGATGTTGGTGATTCAATTTTCTCATTTCAAAATAAGAGACAAAACAACACTACTTTAGCTTGTGATAGGAGCGATACTAATACTCCTTTGCGCCATCAAATAACATCAGAGAGCAATCATATGACTAAAAGTTGCACATACCCCATGCGGTCTTCTAGACAAAAAGACTTTTCAACTTCTGAAGGTACTGGGAATAACTTAATCATGAGATTTGATGCTGTTGGGGATGAAAATGATTATAGCCGTAAGAGTTGTAACACTTGGGGACAGAAACCCTTATATGACAGGAACCAAGCGCCGGACTCAACTGTGTATCATTCTTCTCTGAATGGTTTTTCTTCAAAAGCAGATCCACGTGAAATGTCATCAGGCAGATCATTTGCTGATATTTCCAATACCATTAACACAGTTCATACAAAAAATAGACAAGCTGCTAGTGGAAAAAGGAGACTAGGTTTAGGTTTAACTGTTTCTTCCTTCAAAAGGCCTCGTTGTTCCAAAACTTCTGTCCCTTTTGACCAGGACGTTGCAGTTTTTCCTAATGGTAAGCATTCCTTAAGAGCTTTTAAGTACTTTCCTTTTGAATTTTATTAGTTGCAAGACCTATTATACTAGTTTTGAGGTTGTGATCTTCAGATTTGTCTCAATTATCCTCTGGTGCTTCTGGATGCAAAATAAAGGTTTCTACCCGATATCCATTTCGGTATCCAAGGATGCACATCAAGGAATTTTTTGCAGCACCTCCATTAGAGCGGGGGAACGTTGTGAGTGTAATCTGTTATATGATCAATGTTTATTATTGTCTTCTCCTATGACCTCATTCTCTTTCCACTGACAACACTCTGTGCACCAAAATGAATTTTGTTGCAGTGTTTTCCAAACCAGGGCAGACAGATGACATCATTGAATGCAGAAAAACACTTTTTCCATGATGGGTCTGGTGATAATGTTATGGGAGCAGAAGCTTTTGTCCATCTATTGGCTCGACATGGAGCTTCCATGCAATTTGCTTCTAAAGAGTAAATTGCTTCTGCCCTGAACTTTTGTTTCCAGTGTCTGTGGAAACTGTTAAGAGTAACTTTGCTACGTGGTTTTTTTTATCAAAACAAGGCTTGGTCAGTTAGCTTGTTGAAGTGTGTCTGAAAGTAATTGCTACTTGAAAATTTTAATTGTTTATTGAATGAAATGGAGATCAGTTGTTGAGTTTATGATATCCTCTATGGTTAAATTTAATATTTTAAGGGAGTTTGGTACTTGAAGTGCTCTTTGGTGTTATTCATATGTATTAGTCATTGTAATGTACTTCAACAATGTTCTTTTGCCTCCACTTAATTGCCTTAGTTTTACACTTCCATTGCACATCTCTCTAGGTGGGTCATGAATCATTACAAGTGGATTGTCTGGAAACTAGCATGCTACGACAGATGCAATCCAGCTAGGTCTGCAGTAAAATTTTTGACCGTATCAAATGTGCTTGAGGAACTGAAGTACAGGTATGTAAGCCCTGTAAGACAACATATTTTGGTTCGATAAAACTAATGATGACATTTGGTGCATAGATATGAAAGAGAAGTGAATCATGGCCATCGGTCTACAATCAAGAAAATTCTTGAAGGAGATGCATTGCCTTCTTCAACGATGACTCTCTGCATTTGTAGTTTTCACTCCGATCATGGACTGGAAAGTGGGACTTTTTCTGAGACAGGAACTGGGGCTCAGAGCAGGGAGGAAGTGAAAGTTGAACTAACTGATGGATGGTAAATTTTTTTAACATACGTGCTGTCTGATTCCAAAAAAATGAGGTTCCCTGGTATGTTGAATGATTTTCCCTTGCAGGTATTCTATGAATGCCATTTTAGATGTTCCATTGTCAAAGCAATGGGCTGCTGGAAGATTGTTTATTGGACAGAAGCTTCGGGTAGTTTGTTGGTCTGTCTTTGTCGTTTATCTTGCCTTCCTTGATTATAACCCATAACATTGAACTCTGCTTACATGTGCCTTATGCAGATCTGTGGAGCAGAATTATGTGGCTGGAATGGGCCAGTTTCACCCCTTGAGGTTCTCTATGGCTTAGAATATATATATATATATATATATATATATATATATATATATATATATATATAGGGGGATCAACATATAGCGATGAACAAGTCTTATACCCATTATTAGCTGTTGGTCCAACTTGCATCTAATGGCTCATGTGACTAATAAATTAGAGCTATTAAATGGAAGTGGGATGAATGACTAATAATGGGTTTAAGAATTATATTGGTGTAAGTTGATCGTTCCTCATATATATATATTGCTATTTTATTGACATATTGCTCCCTTATATTCTATTATAATTTCAGGTGTCATCAACAGTTTGTTTATTGCTGAAGATAAATGGAACATATAGAGCTCATTGGGCTGAACGGTTAGGATTTTGTAAGCATCTTTTAGTTTGTGAATGCCACTCTTCTCAATTTTATAGAAATGTAGTATTTTGTTCCTTGAGCTTATCTTCTTTAAGCTAATCTGCAGGTAAGGCTGCTGGTCCACCTTTAGCTTTCAGATGTATAAAAAGTAATGGGGGTCCAATCCCTCAAACTTTGGCTGGAATTACCCGCATATATCCTATTCTTTACAAGGAAAGGTAGCTCTTAATGGTGGATGTCCTTCAGTTTCACTTGAAATATGTTCAGTAAATTAAGAAATATATTCAAGAAAGCTATTAACTGTTTTTCTGATTAGGTTAAGCAGTGGACGGTCTGTGGTCATATCAGAGAGGATGGAGAATAAAATGATGGAGCTGTACAATCACAGGTGACTTCTTTTACTATTAAAGTATCTTAATATTCCCCTATCTATCTCCTCTCTCTTTTTTTCGTCTGATCTGGATATTTCCTGTTAATCATGAGCTTTTGTGTTGCATTTTGGTTCTCTCGGTGTGTGTTTTAACTAGGTTGCAAATTGTCAAGTCATTTTATTAATTTCTTGTTCCTGTTCCATTATACCTCTTAGAAAATACTATATTCTGCAGAAAAACTAAGGTGTGGTAGGCCCAAGATCTTAGGGGTAAGGGGATGAAAAAGAAACTTATTATTTTCTTTTAGGGTTTTACTTTGCAGCTCATATAACATGTATCTCTTAGAAAAGTTCAAGAGTTGTAACATCCTTGCCCCATAAATACACAACGTCTTGTTTTAAGAAAGTAATTCCTAATTAATGTAGAGCCTTATTTATAGGAACTAGTGCTGCTTGGATTTATGGAATAAAAACATGCATCATGTGGGGTCCTTTGGGAAAGAACTCAGAGTAGCTGAAATTAGTTCTGAGAGAGAGGCTCTGCCTTCCCTGGGCAAGAACCAATCACCAAGAGAGATGAAAATAGGAGAAAAGGAGTTCATTAATTTTGGTATTAAACTCTTCATGTACACTGCTTGATAAATGTTAAACCTGAATTATAATATAATTTGATGGCTATAGATGGAATTAAGTGGAGTCTTTTGGGCCTAACTTAACTGTCTTGACTTTTCTAAGAAATATAATTTCTGTAGCCACAATAAATTTAAATTTGTTTAGCAGCATAATGGAGTACATAAGAATAAGACGAAATAGATAAAATTTGTTATATAATTCTGTGACTGGTGTGCAAATAGGAATGCGAGAAAAAATGATCAGGTTCTTACCATGCGGGTATAATTGTTATTTTTATGGCCCAATAATAAGAATTTTTGTTCTTGTGCTGAGACTGATCACCCATATGGCTGCAGACGCTCTGCTATTGTGGATTGGATCATTTCGGAGTATCAGAATGACCATACAGGTTCACATATTTATGATGACAGTGATAGTGAAGGGGCTAAGATTTATAAAATGCTGGAGACAGCTGAAGAACCCGAATTCCTAATGGCAGATATGAGCCCAGAGCAGCTAAAATCTTTTGCTGCTTATAAGGCCAAATTAAATGTGAGAGTGAGATTATATTCCTATCTTAATAGAAGTTCATATGCACAAAGATATTTATGATTTCAAATCCATCTTCAGGCAAGCAGACAGTCAGAAATGGAAAAATCAATTGAGAAAGCTTTGACAGATGCTGGCTTGAGACATAGAGAAATCACACCATTTATGAGGTTAAGGGTAGTTGGATTAACTTGCAAAACTCGACAAGACAAACCTAAAGAAGGCATAGTAACAATCTGGAACCCCACAGAGAAGCAGGTGAGGCTTGTGAGCCAATTGCAAAGATTAGTCATATTTCTTTGTGTCCATAATTTTTCAGTAATTCTGAGGTTGTAGCTTTGTATGCAAACGGTTTCCTCATGCATCCCTAGCTAAGTACCATACACTTCCTTTCCTTTCTTCCCCTACCTTTTAATAAATTTTTATCATGGACATCAGTAAATTTCTCACAATTGTTGCAAATGTGACAGCGTCAGGAGCTGGTAGAGGGAGAAGCATATGCAATTGCAGGGCTCATACCGTCAGGTTCTGATCTGGATATCATTTGCTTGCAGACTAGAGGATCTTCTACCAAGTGGTTGCCTTTATCTATAAATGCAAAGGAACAATTTAAGTAGGTATCTAACAATCAAAATAGTATGAAAGAAAGAAAAAGGAATTTTTACTAGGCTTTGTTCTTGTTATGTCAAATTCTAAATGCAGCTTATTGTTGTCCTTTGTAGGCCATTTTTCATTGGTAGAAAATCGATTTCATTGTCAAGTTTAAGTGGCATCTCTCTTTCCAAGTATTTTGACGCCCTAGTCCTTTTGCTATCAGTTAAAAATGAATAGCAAGAAAATATTTTACAATCCCTTGTCATTATTCTTATACAGTGAGTTCGATATTGCTGCATATGTTGTGTATGTGGGAGAGGTTTATACATCAGCCCAGCAAAGGAAGCAATGGGTTTTTGTGACTGATGGATCCATCATGGGTGGTTTAATCAACTCTTTGCTTGGCATCTGCTTTTGCTCCCCATCGATTGATTATGATTCATCTCCACCAATCAACTATAACCTTGCTGGATCTACGGTAATTGCAATGTATTATCTTTTTTGGTACTGCAATTTAAACTTTTATATCCTTTATGGATTATAATTTATTTCCTCCCAGTGACTGTAAACTTGTCACTGTCATCATTGTCTTTTATCAACAATATTTACAGCTTGATCATTCATACCTTACAAAAGAAAATTATGATATCATAGTTTTGGATATAGGTTTTCAGGTTAGCACGTACTGCTGGATATTTCAGATTAGGTTTCAATGAAACAATTATTTCTGCAAATAAAGTGTAAGGTGCTTAGGTTGTCAGTTTGCACCACCGTGCATGTGGGTCAACTGATTAAGGTTTATTTCAGCTTAACCATCGGTCTCGAGTTCGAGTTCCTGGGAATATAACTGTGTTTAAAACTTGGTAGGGAAAACTTTGCTGTCCATGTAATCCTACCTTGCTCGAATTGGACTAGTCGAGTAATCCATGAACCGATGGATAATATGAAAATAAATAAAGGTTGTCTAGCTTGCGAAACAAGTATAAAGTTGCATTCCTTCATGACTTGGATGAGACCTGTATATTCTTTATTTGCAGGTTGGTTTCTGTAATCTTATAAAAAAGGAAAAGGACTATGCAAACCATATATGGGTTGCTGATGCCACTGAAACCTCGACCTATTATTTGGATTTCGATTCCCCGCACTGTTCTCACCTCAGAAACGCTGCCAGCTCCATCAGAAGATGGGCAAATAATTCTTGCTCGGTATGCACCATGTAACTCTACCGTATAAAAACTTGTTCTGCACGGTGCCATTGCTTATAATGATATCTTGTTTCATCTTTTCTGCAGACAATAGAGAAACTCAAGGAAAAGGTATTGTATGTGGTTGGCAATTGTAAAGCCTAGAAGGAGAAAAACTCAACTAAAGATGTGGCTATATATATGTCGCTCTATTGTCTATGTAATATTACCGAGTATCGGAAATCTATGACATGACATCATCTAAAAGTTATCCGGTCTTTAACTTCTCAGCATCATCACCTTATAGTTTCCGTTGAAATTTCCCTTTTCTGGATGCTTTTTCTCTCGTTTACTGCTGCTAACACCCTACTACTACATATAACATCTCTAATCATCAATATTGAAGATGATGTTGGAATTGTGATCCAACATTTATTCCACCACAATGGAAATGATCACCCATGGGCTATGGCATTTTAAAAGTTTTTTTTTTTTTTTTTTTCTAAAAAAAGAAATAGAGTATTAGAAACAAAATATGAGAAATGGAAACTCAGTGAAAATAATACAATTTTTTAATTGTAAGCTGTAGAAAATCCGGCACATTTATTGTTTGTTACGTCACGTCATTTTCAAAATTTCGTAGCTCTGGAAAATTCGTGACGGAAGAACACTGTTAACGAGCTAAGTGAATTAAATACACTAAGTGAGTTTGATATCATATTTTCATACAAAATCTCAAGGCATTTGGTTTACGGGTTTATCTATTGATATATATTCTTAGTTTATTATTATTAATCAATGTGAGACTCGTTACATTTGTATATCTCAACAGACTAAAGATAATCCTTGTAACTTAATTTGACATATATATATTATAGTTCGAAGTTATGATCTTATGCATATTACCCACACTCTTTGGAACTAGACAATCCTAGTAGCTTAATTTGTCATATATTTTATTTGGGTAAAATATTTGTCCTTTTAAAAGATATAATTTTTCACACGAAAAAAAATAAAATAATTTTGTGTCATTTTAGATTGTATGCATTGATTTTTATCAATCAATGATTATAATTTATTGCAAAATATTGATTAATTAATAAGTTTGACTCAATAAATTATAAAGTAAATTTATTCTTGATATAATATTATTCATGGACGATGATCATAATATTCAAAACATCTCATGAGATCTACTGTACTCTATTTTATGGTCATGATCTTTCAAAATTGAGGTTCTAGACCTCCATTCACTGCCTTTTAATGGAATTTTAGATCTATTTTTAATTTGGGGCGCTTATATTTATCACTATTTTAAGTTTATTGCTCTTACTACCTCTTTTTGTTGTTGTTAAATTAATTTGATTAATAATTTGAAATCAATGACGATTAATTTTTTATCCTTTTCAATGGTAGATTTTGAATTGATACGATAATTAAAGAGTTAATAAGAGTCATAAGGACCTGTTTGGTGTGATGTATAAGGCCTGATAATATAAGCTTATACTATACGTTATGATATTTTTAATTGTTTGGTGTGACCATCGTATAGTATAAGCTTATACAGCATGACCCCTTTATACATCAAAATGATGTATAACTTAATCCGGTTTAGGAGTGGTGGATTAGGCTTGATAAGGGATTGATGTATTAATATTGCTTACAAGTACAATTTTCAAGAACTAATATATCATTTCAACATTTATATATTAAAATAAATTTTTTTAATATATTAATTTTTAAAATATTGGAGGATATTATCTTATACAATATCATACCAAACGTTAGATAGTATTAAAATTTAATCAGGTCTTATACAATCAGGTCTTATACTATCAGATCTTATACTATCAGATCTTATATTATCAAGCATTATCTTATACACCAAACATGCCCTAAGTTTAAAATAATGGCAATTCTTTTAAATTACGTTATTAATCAAAACATTAAACGAAAGAATTGAATTTAAAAGCAGAAAATTAAAGAAGTTTTATAAATGTCCATATACGCGGTCGTGCTAGTAACTCAATAGTCAATATATCATTTTACCATTATCGAGGAGTCTTTGCCTTTCTTCCTTCAGTTTCTCTCTTTTACTTGTTGCCCTAACCCAACCCTTACTGGTTCCTTCAGTTTCCTTCCTTTCTTCCCGCCATATCTTATTTTCAAAGCCCTCGTTTCGCTGTAAGTTACTTTCTCCTGTCCCTCTGACACCGTTTCATTATATTGTTTTCTTTTGTTTTTTGTTTTTTTGTTTTTCATTCTATGGTGAGTTTGTTGACGTTGAATAACTACATTCTCTTCTGAACTGCTTAATGTTTATTATCTTATCGTTTTAGGAGAATGGAGTATCCAGCTATTTTACCACACTCTAATCTGAATGAAGAAACTCTGATTGTCGACAAGAAGTCCGAGAGGAACAACAAAAATGCTGAAAAGAAGAGAAAGAGGTTGACTGAAGTTCGAATAGTTTCCTCTTATTTCTCTTGCTCAAAAGGAGGTGAACGGGTTGAAAAAGCCAAGAGGAAATCGAAAAATTTGAAAGTAGAAGATTCGGCTAGTGTAAACTATGTTTCTTCTTCTCGAAAGGTCTCTCCATACTTCGATAAGGGGCCTAAAATAGAAGAAAGCACATTGGAAAATAAATCTAGTGGCAGTGAAAAACCGATTACAGTTAAAAGAACCCTTTCGGCTTCTGAGAAGCGGGATGAGGCATATGAAAGAAGAACTCCTGATAATACATGGAAGCCTCCGCGGTCTGAGATTGTTCTCCTTCAAGAGGATCACGTTCATGACCCTTGGAGGGTGTTGGTTATATGCATGCTTCTCAACAGAACTACCGGTCGGAAGGTATATTCATGTATTCGCCTACTGATTTAATAGCATCTGGATATTTGATTCTTTGCATAATGTTTTCCCAATTTAGCCCCTATTCTGAGACAATGTTTTACTATTGGCCTTGGCATTCATATACCATGCTATTGTATCTTTCTATTTGAATAAGTACTGTTTGGAGGAACAAGCATGTTTCTCACTCTAATATTTGTAGCTGTTATACATGAGCAGTGCCCTTCATCTGTTGGTCTGCTTTAAAAGGCTCTGTAACTTGAGGCTATAGATCTATTTTTTGGGTTTCTAAACTGTTTATTATGTGGGTTACCAAAGCAATGCTGTATTGTCATCTTTGAAACAAGAGCCCAGCGGTTATCATTCAGGTGTCAAGTTCTTGATATGTTTAGGGAGAGATTAAAATATATTTGGGAAATATTTGTAGAGCATTGCGGAATATAAATACCACTCTTTTCACAAAATGAGGGCCTTTTGCTTGATTGTTGACTATATATAGTTTTCATTACTATTGGAAGGACATTTGGGTGGGAAGTGTTCCTTTTAAACTTTATAGAGGATTTTGCCTTGCTTTTTTACTCTAACCACTCTTAGTAATTTGCACAATACTCTTATTCTGTTTAAAACCATTCGTCATATTGAGTTTCATTTCCTTAGAGATTTCAATTATTGAGAGTATAGCTCTTGTGGATTTACTTGAGTATTCTTCTCTCTCAACCAAACTATGTAATTTAGACATGAGATTCTTCTGTTGTTTTCTCTTGCAAGTCTTTTTTTTCAATTTCTTACTCATACTTCTAACTTTCGAAGTTTCCTCCTTGAAAAACTCATTTGAAATCCTAGGCTCTCTCTAAGGTCAAGTATTTTGTTTAGACATCCATACATAACAGGGTTGACACAAATGACTTTCTTCGGATTCATACACCATCTTTCACTCTTTTTCCGGATTTGTATGTCATGTTCTAGTGGAGCGCAGAGGCTAATAGAAAACAGGAGAATTTGATAGAAAGTGAAAGTGAGACAGAGAGCTTTGAGAGAATCTATTATTTGCAGGTGCATGATATATGTTCCCGGACATTGCATCGGACAAATTACACTTTCTATTCTTCTCCATTCTTGCTTCCTGTGCAAGAAACTAAGCTTTGTATGGATCCATTCCGATGATCATGGATGTAATGCATGCATTATATTCTTTTGAAAACTCTTCCCCAGTAATATTAATATGGTCTAGATGAGATTGGATCACCTATGGACAGATTGCATGAGAGAATCCGCAATAAGCTTTTTTCTGAGTTGATACTCTGAGAGCGTTCTTCCTCTTTTTTAGATGTTCCAAATTTCAGATCTCAACTGTCATGTCTTTGCTGAAATTAGGGCTTTGATACCGTAATAGAAAAGGAGATAAATTGACTGAAAGTGAAAAGGGAGAGAATGAGCTTTGAGAGAATCGCAGAATCCATCCCCTATTCAGAACAACCAGAATTTAAACAAATTTTTAGACTAAACTAACAGAACTAACTCATAACTAACTGTCTAATAATTAACTTCTACAACCGTCATTAACAGACTAACTATAACAGACTCAGCTGACTGTAACAGTGATGGCATTATACAGGATATATTCTAACAGAGACAGAGGACCACTTATTAATGCAAAGTAAGCTGGCTACTCTGCTCAACCTTTTCAGGATTTAATGTAAAGATTTTGGTTAAACAAGGACTAAGATTTTATGGCAGTGCACATTTTATGCAATCTTCTGGTGTGTGTTGGAGAAGAAAACTTGAATCTTAATGGTGTTTCTTAATTTCTTTGCCGATAATTTTGATATGTGATAAGATTTATATTTTTGGGTTTCTTTGTAATATTCTGCCCGTGGATACTTCAAGGGTGCTGTTATCTACGATTTCCATTACGATTGTGAAGCCTTGCTGCATACTTTGTTTTATTCTGTTTTTCTTGGCTTTTTTTGGTTGTCTAAAGTCTTTTCTTTGTTGGATATTTTCTTATCCTCCTGCTAGTTGTTCTTCTCTTTTCCTCTTAACAAAAAAATTTTCGTATAAAAAAAATCTCCTTTGTTTTCTATACTTGGTTTGACATCATCTGTGGAAGCATGTACACATTATTTTATAGGATGGCTGTCTGTAAGGCCTTGTGGCTGTATATTGTACGACATAGATTGGCAAGAGTGAAATAGTCAAGTAAAGATTGAAACAATATCACCTTTAATCCAACCTTGTTGGGTTATGCAGCCATTGAATCCATTAAAAGCAAGAACAAATTAAGGAAAAATAAATATTAAATGGGAAAAAAAAACTTATATTTATATTAGAAAAATAAAATAAAATAAATAAATACATAAAAAAAAAAAGATTCAGAGAGAGAGAGAGAGAGAGGAGAAGAAAAAAAAGGAAAAAGTTAATGGTGCAAATTCTATCTTTTCACAAATATTTTTTGTTTGATGCATAGAAATCTTTGTTGAAAATTAGATTTCTTCACTGCATATTTTTACTATGTTGGGGATGTGGTGATTATGACATAGATGTACCTTCTATTCGTGTTATGATATTTACCAAGTTGCATGCTTTATGATATTTACCAAGTTGATAAGGTCTCAGTATAAAAAAAATCTTCATTAGGTTTTTTTCGAGTTGGTTATTTGATATGTAAGTGGGTCAATTCATTTATGATATTCTTCGAGTAATGTCAATTAGATGGGTACATGGTTTGAGAATATGGTAAATTAGGAATCAGGACACCTAGTCAATTAATTCCCAGGATCTCCTATGCCACCTTGTTCTCTAAGGTGAAGATGGTGCCATTAGAATTAGTGGTCATTTGCAGGAGTGTAATTTGTGCTTTTGTTAAAACATCCTATTGTGCATATGAGGTTTTCATTTAATTATCGTATGTTGGTGTGTAAAAGTTTAAATTATATGGATGCATGTACTGATTTAAGATAGATTATTTTGCAAAATGCAGGTAAAAGAGGTTTTACTAGAACTGTTTGAGTTATGTCCAGATGCAAAATCTTGTACACGAGTGTCAAATGATGAAATTTCAAAGATAATACAGCCTCTAGGTTTTCAAAATAAAAGGGCACTTATGTTACGGCGGTTCTCTGAGGAATACTTGGAGGAAAGATGGACACATGTAACTCAACTCCATGGTGTTGGCAAGTATGTCATGTTGTGTTCTTTTCTATGAGTGCATGTGTGCCCTTTTATTTTAATTTTTTATTTAGGTAAATCTATGTTTCTCTTTTTTTTCCCCTATGATAATATTGAATCTTTCTCAATCAGGTATGCAGCGGATGCATATGCTATATTTTGTACAGGAAAATGGGATCGAGTGAGACCTGCAGATCACAAGCTAAATGAGTATTGGGAATGGCTCCATGAAACTCAAGCATAAATTGTTAAAGACATAGGATGAAGGAATGGAATTTTAAATTATTCATATTGGTGTCTGTCTCTTTGTATTTGTGTACTGATGATGGGAAAGTCCATATTTTCCTCTTAACTTTTTATGCTTTTCTCTGTTTGTGTATCTTTTTTCTTTTGTCAAAGGCTTAGAGGTAGACAAAAGATATCCTTGTTTTTTGGCAAGCGCAAGTACGAAGGTTCAATTTTTTAAAAAATTCTATGCAATGTTTAGAAGAATATTCTGCTATGTAGCTTTGTTAAGGCAATTCAATTGCTTTTTATTTTAAAATGTACGAAGTTTTGATTCTTTATCCTAACACAATAAGGGGACATAACATCAGTTTTAATGAATTTATGAACCAAGCGAGAATGTTTAGTTGATGAAGGAGAGAAGCTGTGAAAGTATCTTTAGAAGTTGGGAACCTGAGAAAATATCTATTGAAGCTTTAAAATTTTAGTGAAAAGAGAGATAAATACCAAGCAAAGGCCAAATTCCAATAGCTTTTTTCTCTTTTATATTAGGGCATCTACAATGAAAATCAATCTCTTCTTTTCCATTCTGGATATGGATTCAATCCACATATGCCTTATGGACCATATTCCTCAGTTACATCACCTTTGCTTTCTGTAGGTGGAGACTCACAACTATACTCCTCCCAGCAATGTCCATACACTGGGCCACCTTATTACCATCAGCTAGTTCCTCCTAGCATATCATATCTTAATTCACCGACCCCAGTTACACAGCCAGAGCTCACCAACTTCGTAGGTGTTGACCAACAAGTTGATAGCATGCTTTTTGGATCTAGACCGGGCTATCCTTCAGTGGGATCATTTGGTAGGGGCAGTTTTCCTGGAGCACCTGATTCCTTCCATTTTCATGATTCCCAACAACGATTTAATGAACCAGGATCTGGTGGAATCTGGTCAGATTGTTCAAAACCCTCGGAAAGGCAAAGGTCATCGATGCCTCTATCTCCAGCAGTTTCTCCACAGCCAATTGGCTCCCTTGGGTCATTTCGGCAGTGTTGGAATGGTTTGTTCTATTACTTGTGCATAATCAGGCAAAATGTTTCAATGTCCAAGTTTTGAACTTAACTATATTGAAACTTAACTTGCTGATGAACTGCACAACTCCAGTATGTGGAACATATCAATGGTTTTATATTACATCTCTAAGTCTGTTTTAAATGAGCCAAGTTTTCTTGTCATCTATGTATGATAAGTCTACCACCATGGCAGCAATGTGAAACTGTAGAACTTGGGCAGAGAGAAACCCAAACTTTGATACATAATGCTGACTTATTCTGTGCAGGCTTCTCATCAACGGGGATTGTTGTATGGGTTTGGATCTGGTTCAAACTCCTATGGTAGTGGCTACCTGCGTAACCACGGTTCTAGCTTTGAACGCATTGCTGTTTCCAGTCTTGGTGAAAATGATAGGAGCCGGCTTTCTCTTGAAAATAGCAGACGGAGTGACAGGGAAAATGCTTCTCCTTGCAGTTGCAATGTTACTCTTGATATCCTTAGTGAGCAGAACCGAGGTCCTAGGGCCTTAAAGCTGAAAAATCAAATATCAGCTGAAAATAATTCTGTTGATAATAGTAAACGTAGTACATCTACTGCCAGGTTCCAAAATGAATCATTCAACGGGCCAGATTTTATCACAGATTATAAGGATGCCAAATTTTTTGTCATCAAATCTTATTGTGAAGATAATGTTCACAAAAGCATCAAATATGGTGTATGGGCTAGTACACCAAATGGAAACAGAAAGCTAGATGCAGCATATTGCCAAGCAAAGGAGAAGCAAGATGCCTGCCGCATGTTTCTATTCTTTTCAGTAATCGTCTGATTTATGTATCTTGAAGGCTTAAATATTAAGCTACAATATTCTTGCTATAGTAATTGCTAACTACAAATTAGTATCTTCTGTGCTATTGCAAGAAACCTTGGTTCAGAGTATTTGTAAGATTCTATCATTATCCATTTAGATGTATGTTCTAGTTTGTCCCTACTGAAACAAGAGCACATTTTTCAAGCAAGCTCATATTCTTGTGATCCAGTCTGATGTCTTGCTCTTATGATCCACTTATTCTGTGATGGTTACGTTCAGTTTTTGCATGTTTCAGTTGTATGTGTGATATGGGCATATCTGTGTCTGTGTGAATTTGATTTAGTTGCAGAGTAACTTCCTGAAGAATTAATTGGAGTTATAGAAAAATGAATAAGGTTATAGGAAGTAACCATGGAAAAATCTTTGCTATGTGCTATAGAAGCTCAAATGAAAGTCTGAGGAAGAGCTTTTCTTAGCTAAATATCCCTTGTATTTTCTTTATAGTTATGCATGCATATTAGTTGCTGCTGGATTGAACTGACCCTTGGGCATATCAATACTTCTTTGAATTCATTTTCCCCTAATTTTCTTATCGTACTTATTGATATTGTTTGTTCTATCTTCCGTGCTGACTTTCTAAATGAATTGATGAGTATTTATGCTGCCAACTAATGCTTTACTTTATACCTTATTCCATTTTACTGATTTAGCTGTAGTTTTATTTGGCAGGAGTAGGTTATTTGATGTCTTGTTTCTTGATGTTGATACTAGGTTTAAAATTATAGTAGTAAAGTACCAAAGCTAGTTTTTACTTTCTATTATTTTTAATTTCGGTGTTGCCTTGCTCTTGTGTTGCTTTCTCATATGACTGCTATGAAAATGATACATGTTATAACGACATCTAGGTAAATGCAAGTGCTCAGTTCTGTGGGGTGGCTGAAATGGTTGGAACTGTCGATTTTGACAAGAGTGTAGACTACTGGCAACAAGATAAGTGGAGTGGACAGTTTCCTGTGAAGTGGCACTTGATTAAAGATGTCCCTAACAGTCACTTTTGTCACATTATTCTTGAAAATAATGATAACAAGCCGGTGACCAACAGTCGAGATTCTCAGGAGGTAGGTATCTGAGCATCTTCAATTGAATGAATTTACGAATAATATTTTTACTGTTTGTAATATATTTTTGTGATGTGCTGACTTGGGAAAAGACAAACTGAAATGGTTGCAGTAGTTTATTAAGTCAATACTTTTCAAAGTTGAAAATTGAGCTGCTTATTGTCTTGAGAAACCTTCTGAAGTTATAGACAACCTAAAACTTATATATGGTCCTGACCTTTTTGTTTGAAATGACACTTGTGACATCTTTATTTAGGCGATTTTCTACGTTTCTATGTTGTCCACATGATTTCTCCTCTCATTTATATATTTTGAGGGTGAGTGGCCCAATGTTGGTTGCCATGTTCTCTCTCCCCTCCCCACCCTTACCCTCTCTCTCTCTCTCTCTTTTATCTGCAATGACTAATTATAAAAGCATGTTTTCTGACTGATGAAGGAACGTTTAGATATTATCCACTGGTGGGTACAGTATGAGCGTAGATCAATGTCTCCCGTCCTACTTGTGTTTATAAATTTGCATATGGTTTACAAATTCCAATTTATTATGTGCTATTAAGAAATGCAATGGTTTCTAAATTTCAATTTATTGGGTGCTATTAAGAATGTGACAATTTTTCCTTTAAACTTACGATGTTGTTTTTGCTCCGTTCTGAAACATTTCAGGTGAAATTGCAACAGGGTAATGAAATGTTGACCATTTTTAAGAACTATATGACTGATATGTCCATCCTAGATGATTTTGATTTCTATGAAGACCGGCAGAAAGCTATGCAAGAACGAAAGGCAAGGCAGCAAGGAAGCATGATGGCTGTAAGAATCGTTGGAGAAAGTGAGCATGGGAGTTCTGGTAACATTAGAGGTGATTTCATCAAGCAGATGTCAAAGATCTTTGCTCAAGTTGTTCGCTTAGATGAGAGTAAAAATGAAGTCTGCGTTGCTGACAGAGGGAATTTAGCTTCTGACAAACCCGTTGGTACTATAGTTAAATCCGAAGATGTTATTTCGGTGACTACCTCTTAAACTCAAACCAGATTGGAAGATATATCATATATCAGTTGTCCCAGGAATTTTGAGCACTTTGACCAAAGCATTAAGTGATAATAACTAGAGTCGTGTTTTGTTAAATCTCATTCCGATATGGTAGTGTTGCTGATGTCATTCAAGCTGTTAAGTCAATGGGGTTTCTAAAAAGGTTTTACATGAAGAATGGTTTTCATGTATAATATATGTTTCCTATAGTGCCTCATCTCTATTGTAGATCTCTATTGTAGTTCTAGTTTTATCGCCCTACATTACAGTTTTTCTTAGTTTGAGTAGATTCGGTTTTTGGCTTTTATAGTTCTGCTGTCGCTGCAGAAGAAATTTTTTGCAGCAACACATGAAAAATCAGAATACTCGTGTAGATCTTGATTTTTATTTTTTTTATTTTTAAAAAACCGGTGGGATTCACTTTTTTTTTGTGTTTCCTGTATAAAAAAAGGGTTCCTTTTTTGTCATTTGACATGACAAGAGCACTTTTCTACACACACAAATCAAGTGTGGGTCCCACGCTTAAAAAAAAAAGTCAAACCAAAATCAGGATACGACGCCGTATCCTTAGGATACGACGCCGTATCCTTGTTGCAGGAATGAACAGTGCCATTCCTGCAACATGATTCTTATATTTCCCATAAAAAAAAGTGGTCCAGTGACAGTAGAAGTTGAGGACTCTAGGTTTTTATGCCATTTCTTTTGTTCTCTTTCATAATTTTGGGTTAGGTTAATTTGTTTGGTATGTTTCAGATTTGTTAATGTTCCCTATCATGCGAGCTATTTGCAGTAAAGGCAGCTAGCACCTTGAAAAGAATAATCTTTGGATTGGTATTTGTTTGGCGATATTTTCTGATTAATATATGACTTACTTATTTTTGTTTAGATTCTGCATACCTGAACCGACTTTGTGAGCGCAGAAGCTTGCGTACACACACAGGCTCTTTGACCACATGGGGTTTTTTTACCCCTTTAATTTTTTATTTGGTATTTAATTCCTGGTATTTATGGATGAAGTTTTTTTAGAGCTGCAAAGGAGTTCAGCGACACTGAGTGACGCCCCCCCTCTTCCAGAAGGAGGGGGGATTCACGCGATTGTGCCAAATGGCATAATCTCGTTACCGTAGGCAGTTCTGTTACTATAAAACCTTGGAAAAACGTAATTTTTGACTCGGATATTCCAATCAGATAATGTTTCTACAGAATGACACTTCATTTAGCATATTTTATCTCTCACAAACATAGTTCGAATTTGTAACAATGGTACCGTAATCACAAGAAAAAGACTACAATAACATGTTGGCCATGCTTGATATGCCTTTAAAGTTATCGTTTATCTTTGCTTTGTTCCTTCTTTCCCTACTGCTAGAGTTGTTCATTTTTGCTCCCACTTTTTCTTCATTTTATTTTCTTCACAAAAACAGAGCAGGGATAGATGATAGAATGCTGGTCATGCTTGATGCCTCTAAAGCTATCGTCTATCGTTGCTTTGTTCCTTCATTTCCTACTGCTAGGGTTCTCCATTTTCTCTCTCACTTTTTCTTCGTTTTCTTTTCTTCACAAAAATAAATTTTGAAATTAATTATTGTCTCGCACAGGTGCTATGCAACTCTAACAAACAGAAATTCAATTAAATAAAATCTCAACAAAACTAATTTGAAAATCGAGGAAGCTAAACAAA